CTGCTGAAATTCAGATTTTGGCCTTTATTCATGTGATGTTGATTGCGCTTGGCTTTTTCCTCGTCAAGTAGGTCTCAACTCTAATACACACACACACCATTAGATTGTCCTACGGTGGAAATTAATCCTTATCCCTTTAGCGACCCTCTGTTTTTGTCATGTTTATTGTAAAGGTCACATGACACATGAAAAGTGGAAGGCATGGATGAGTATGAAAATTAACTCCAACAGGTATCTTTTTTTTTAATTTAAAATTTTAAATACGACATAAAGCAGCAGATATAATCTTTCTTTAAGTAAAATAGAGCGCAATTTCTTGAATCTGTCTCAGAAGTTTCTTGCGTGTAGCATTTTGAAATCTTTATATAAATACCCATTTTGTGGTGTTTACTTCTTAATGCTACATGATTGTTCTTTATGATTGTTCAGGTACGCTTAGCTTTCCTACCTATACCCACAGTCCTTACTGTCGTGTGTATCTTTGAGCTAGGTAATATATTTGTATCCTGTAATCATGTTTGTTTTTTCGAAGAACAGGACAATATACATACGTAAGGCATGACCATGAAAAGAAATCATATATCAGGATTCCTAGTTCGTATGTGGTACTGTTTTCCTGAGAATAGGGATTAAATTCTGGCGGTAGATGCCGTTCCTCTCGGAGAGTCAAATCTCATTTCATTTCCACGATTTTAAATTTTCAAATTTGCGTGGCCGTGGAAGGTAGTGTAAGTGATTTGAGCCTTAATTTGGAAGAATGCAGGAAAAAGGACTAGCATGTGGACCTGTTCTTACTCCTGCAAATATCCAAGTTGTGTCTTGTCTTTTAGCTTTTTGCCATTGGTCCCCCTTCCAAGCTTGTGTTGGTCCTTGGGTTGCTAGCTTTCTTGGTTTTTCTCTTTTTGATCCTTTTCATACCTCTCTTTTCTTTATTCTTTCATTGGGTGCTTGTGAACATTGCCTAATCAACACGGTTGATCTCTTTTAATTAGGGCTGTGCAACTGCTGTTTGAGTTTTGTTAGGGTATAAGGCAGATATTCTTTTCGTTTAGGGTACCCTAAACGTGATATCCACAACCCATGATATTTTAGTAACACCTACCTAGAGTATTATTCTAAATTCGTTCCATATTGGAAACTGTTTGATACTAACTCATGTCTGTGTACAGTTGTGCTCTGCCTACCCTTGATGGTGAAGTTGCTTGCTGCATTTAGCAGAATCAGAAATTTCTGGCTTTTACCAGAATTTGTTTGCACCTATATAATCCTGCTTGCGTTTAAATGCAGCCCCGACACAATCCGCACTGTCAAAATCTCCAGTGGGGAGGGAGTTTATTGTTAGCTTTGGTCCAACTAGCTTCTTGCCCCAATGCTGGGTTATCATAGAAATCTTCTATGTTGTTCGTTCATGGTGACTATTAAGTGGGTTGGGTTGGTCTGTCTGCAGTTGAAGAAGTAATATTGGTTGAAGTGTGTTCATATCAGTGAGTTTCTAATGGTCAGACCGGCCTGCACATAGATAGAGCCTACCAAGAGCGGTCTGCTGGCTCTGAATCTTGAGATATGTCTGTCCATGTCATGTGGATAAGGCTCTTGTATGCCATGTCGTGTACATTATCAACTTCGTGATAAGTAGAAAGCTAAGAGGGAGAAGATAAGGCAGGCAGTTTATCCGCCAAAAATATCTAATCGGAAGCTTCCGAGGATATTCTCTCCTTAAGATATTATGAACGTCTCTTCTGCTGATATTTTCTTTTCTGTGCCTATCTTCTGTGTCTGTGATTTTCAAATGTCCCTTTCATATGCCCTTATAACTGACAAAAAAAAAAAGGGATCCCTGAACATATCCCAAGCAGCATCATAGATAGATACTGAACTCTGTCGTGATTTTATTTGTATCCGAGTCTAGTAGTAAGTTGCTTACGAGTAAATATTACACGATTTTGTTTTGCATCAAGATCTAGAACCAGAGGTGAAGATATCTGACAACGTCTGTTGTAGGGGACCCAGCTGGATGTGGGGGGTTTGTCCACGGAGAAACACAATGTGTGGAGAGCGGCCTTCCATTCGAACTGGATTATCGGCAGCTGACCGTGTCACAGAATCTGGCCGTGAGGTAACATATAGAATTATAGAAAGTGATGAATCAATCAATTAGGGCCTTGATTAGGAGGCGTACTTAGATTGTGAATTGAATGTCTGACCTCTTGGTAATGGTAAAACAGATATTTTCTGTATGTGTTATATATGCTTTAGATTCACGACTGATAATGAATGTACGTGGTAGGTTGCAATTTATAAAATCGTTTTAGATGGGTACGTCTTTGAATCTATGGCTGAATTTAGTAACTTGGACTCTCCACTAAATTGGTGGACTGGAACAGTGTTATTGGAGTTGTCCTAAAAGTTTTATTATGATTAGTTTGTGCCTGTAAATGTTGAGACTTTGTGAAAGATTTGTCGAGAAACCCATTGCCCACATCCACTTTGTGAACTTTGTGTGCTTCTCCAATTACCAACAATCCAGTTCTTTGACAATAGATAAAAATAGGGCACATGACCAGATCAGTCGTTGATGAAAGACAAAATCAGATCAAACCCATAAAAAAAATGCATATTGACGCCCACTCCACCTCATCAGAATTCCAGAGAGTTTCTTCCTCAATCCCCATTCATTGTGTTCAACATGTCACGAATCTCAGTACATTTTACCAAAACCCAGATACTGATTGTCGGAATTTCCCTTAAATTTCGCACCGAGAGGATTCCCTTACCTCTGATCTCATCGCGATCCCTCTGCTCTTCACCGGACACTAAATGCGATCATTCCCTCGTCCAGATAGCTCAGGAGAGAAAAACACAAACGGATCGGTAAACCAAAATGAAAGAACAGAGCATCAAAGGGACGCCTCTAAACTTTAAAAGAACAGATTCGATAAACGCAACGACGATAAGTGGAAATCATCAACAATACAACGCAATTCGGAATAGGATCGGTACACGCACCTCAGCTCAGGTAGATCTGGATCTTCCGTCCCGCTCGCTTTCATAGTCATCGTCGATCGCGACCAAGCCTTTGATTAGTAGAGAGGGGGAAGAATGAAATCCCATTTTCGGTATTAACTCCTTATAAAGTAGAAAATGTGTTGCCCACGCGCACCTTCTTTCCTAATTGGTCGATTTGGCGATTTTAGCCAAATTCTCCTGGACTATAGTATGGCAATTTTGGGTCCGTGGCGTCCACGCGCCAAAGTGGCGCGTCAAGCTCCTGGCGCTCATAAAAATAACTGTCTGGTACGAACGAAGTTTGCCCACGCGCACATTCTCTTCGGCTCCCACGAATTGTGGATTTTCGCCCAAAATCCCTGATGGATAGTATTGCAATTTTGGGGCGGTGACGTCCACGCGCAAGAGTAGCGCGTGAACCCTCGCTTGCTCTATCTGATTTTGGCCACAACTGATGACGTCTGTTTTCGCCCCCACAAATTCTCAAGCGGTTAATACTTTTTTATTTTCTAAGGTTTATTTTTTTTTTCCAAATTACATGCGTGCGCGCGCACAGAATCACGATTAAAAAGACGAAAAGTTTGAAAATTTTTACGGCCACCGAATCTATAATTTTTTTTAGTAGACAGTTGTGCATAAAAAAAAAACACTCTTAGAATGAGGGTGGGTTACTATGTTCTCCAAATATTTACTGTAACATGTACGTATCGTGCAACAATTAAAAAAAAATAGAATGAAGGAAGACAAAATCAATCCAGCGTATTAAGTAATAATACACAACACACACACTGCCATATTTATTACAAGGAAGACAAAATAAAAAAAAAATTGAAAAAAAAACATTGTTTTTAAGTAAAAGAGGTACCCTTTATTATCAGGAAGGAGAGGCGTGTAATGGATCTCCAAAATCAGAATCTCGTCACAAAGTCGAAGACCACATCTTTCTACTCTTTCACCCTCATTCCTGACAGCAATTTTTTTTTTTTTAAATTTAACAACCGGTTTCTGGATATTGTTTCATAGGGTATTAGTCAGTAGAGGGCAAGTTCTTTGATTATTTTAAAAATAATTATAAAAAAAAAGCCACAAAAGTTTGCCCTAGAACCAATAATAAAAGTGCAGAATATAAAGAGGCTTGACTAACATTTACTAGTGTGGAAGAGAAGATATAACAGCGAGTGAGAAACCACTTACAAGGTCGTATATCCCACGAGGAAGGTAGAAAAAGCTGCAGCATTTGGAGGATGGCCACCACCACAAATCTGCCATAACAAGAGAAATGTTTTGGTACGTGGATCGTTTTTCATCAATGGATACAATTCCTTGGGGCAATGCCCCCAACACCAAGGAAATGTATTGACATCAGATCAATTATACTAAAGATAGTAAAGTGGCATGAAGCAGAATTCCAATAGCAAGGAATATGCGCATCACATTGTGGCCTGCTTATTAGCATAAACGGTTTTGAAAGATGGAGAAGGGAATTACCTGATTTTTTGCACACTGGCCTTCAGATTCCGGCTCGCTGCTCCAGGATTTTTGCACACTGGCCTTCACATTGTGGTCTGCTTATGCATCTTATCCATATCAGAACAGTACAATATAACCCACACATATAAAGACAAGCTAGGTAACTAACAGGAAACATGAATCAGGAATTTCAAATCATAGCTGCCTAACCTGTAATACCATTATTCTTTTCTTGGTCACCATGATGACGCGCTTGTATGGAACAATGAAATGCTCTACGCAGTAGCCCGGCAGCACAAATTTCGAGGGTTCCCTGAAGAACCATCTGGGAGTAAAGAACAGAAATGAGTGGCAAGCTAGACGAAAAAAATATATACATAATGGTCAGAACGCAAAGGAATATAATGTTGGACTTGATTGGCTGTCGCTTCAGCTGAAGGCTTTTGGTCATGACCAAGGGTTTATCCCGTTTCTTTTCAAACATTGAGCTTTTCGGTTAAGCTGTGGATTTTAGCATGAGGTAAGTGTTTAAGGTTTTTTGGCTTTTGGCTTTCCTGGATATAAGAATTCTCTAAATTTGTAAACTTTTTTTTAACTTCTAATTTTTACATCTTCTTTTAGATATAGTTTATAAGAGAGATTTATTAAAATTAAGAAATTTTCTAAACATGAGGTTTGTTTTAATTGTTTCAAAGGGTGAAGCCCATATAAGATCTCTGGCAAAGCAATAAAAAACTTAACTAGACGACAAGAGAAGAATTGTGGCAGTACCTGGCCAATAGCTTTCTTCTCATCACACTCCCTGAGTACACAATCTGCATGAATAACTTGGGGTTTTCTAATTCTCTCCAATGCATCTGGTACAACTAGCACCAATTCCAGTAACCGTCAATGAGAAAACATCTGATGCACCACTCACTGGATGGACGATGAATCCTGTGAAAGCACGTCCCCCCATCCCACGGGTGAATCCCGAATGACCATTCTGTCTGGCACTCTCCACAGGCTTCGATTCTTTGAAAATTTGCATCGTCTAAACCAATGATTCTCCATGACCAAACCTGGTCTATTTTGAGAACTCTTTAAAGTTTAAACAAACAGCCAAAGTGACGTATACATGGGAACAGTGGCTACCTGTCTTTCTCACAGTAGGAATTGACCATCAGTTGAACAAATATTGAGTTACATGAGTATATATATTGCATTAGGAACAAGTATCTCAAACTTAGCCGGTAGTATCAACCTTCAAATTACCTAAAAATTAAACTCCAGAAATCAGAACTAGTCATATACTATTATAGACTGCAGGAGTTGACACCGTAAGAAGGTATTTTGAATTTTCAAGGATGATAGACCTAACCAGAATTTTAAACACATTGCCAACAGCAGATAGAATGGTACTCACACACCGAGAACTACATGAGATCTTTGAGCAGGTGCTGTTTCTATCTTTCTAGTGAGATTTTGATCCTTACTTCTGAAACATCTATGAGGCCGATCTGCTCAGTAATCATATAGAACCCCCGAAAAATATCATGATTTGATTCCCAGTATGGGATTTGCATGATGAATTGCATGCCCTAATGGAACAAGTAAAACAGACTGAGTAATACTTTATTCAAATCTCAGGACCAACTCAGGCGGCGCAAGAACTCTTGGGGATGTGATCCAACTGAAGATTATTGTAGAAATCAGCTGAAGCCCAAATGATAGGCTCATGAATGTTTACTCTCCAAGTATTCTGTCACCCGCAAATCGAATTTCATGTCCATAAATCGAGCATGTGCTTGAGATGGTACACTAAGAGTTGAATTTAAGTATGATAAAGATTAACATGAGTAGAATATACACACCCATACATAGACGTATGGATAGACTTGGATGCCCGCAGTTTCATTATCTTAAGCATTGGTTGATGTTTATCTCCAGTGTTATCTGGTGCCAACAGTATGGAAGATGACACCATATCACCTAAAAGGAAAAATGCGCTTTCATTTTTCACATGAGTATATATAAAAAGGAAGTACCAATTTCACAAATTTTAGGGTATGGAAGATGACACCATATCACCTAAAATTAATAAATGTTACTTATGCCATAAGTAACATAAAGATGAGTACTGTCAGATAACACCATCACCCCCCCTAAAATCAGACATTTCAAAGCTTAAGATGAAACTTTACTTCTAGTTCCCTAAACAATTCGAACTCCGCTACACCTTTTTCCATGTCTAAATTAGAAACGCCAGAATGATCACCAGTTTCGATCTTAGCATCCAGGAATTTCTGACCATAGGGATCTTCCAAGCAGAAGAATTCGAACAAAAACCAAGATCGAAAAAACTAATGTCGGATCAATTCTTCCAACTAAATGGAAACGAACCAAAACTCCGACAAATTCCGCAGTCATTTACAACAGATCATGGTGTTCCAGTTCAGTCGCTACCGTATTAACCTAATTGCGCTTCGAAATCAACTTTGAACGGAAACACAAATCTGGAAATACGCAATCTCACCTTACCAAACGCTGGCCTTCAAAGCTTCCCCAAGCTTCTCTGCAACAAGTATGCGATCTGATCCTCAAACATCCTCGAATTCCAGTAAGCAAAAATCTCAGATCAAACCAAATTTAAGAGAATCGGAAATCAAACAAACGTAGACCGTATATAATCGCACAGGAGCACGACAGAGAAAAACCCTAAACGAGTAGAATTGGGGAAACAGAAGATCTGAAAAGAAACGAAACGCGAACTGGGGAATCACCAGAGTTCGATCGGGGTGGAAATTAACCGCTGGGGAAGGGGAAATTATCACCTGCGGGTAAGCTCGCGGAGACAGCTGGATTCTTGCCACGTGTATCGTAAAGTCAGGTGATCTGCACGTGACAGGCCCATTAATGTTACGGCCCGCTTTATCAATCCCATATTTTTGGGCCTCAAAGTGAGCCCATTAAGAAGAGGAGGCATCATCTTCCCTGCAATATAAAAAAAAATAAAGACATTATAGAAATTCTTGTTGTTTGCAGAGATTGGGGCATCATTTTATTTGAAGGACGAAAAAAAAATCAATTTTATATTTTTCCCAACTATAGATTTAAAAACAAGCATGAGATTAACCTAAACAAAAAAAAACATTGAAATTCAATTTTTTATATATATTCCCAATGCGTTGAAAAATAAAAATAAAAATTAGTGGTGTCATCCATGCATGCTTGCATATGCAGACTTTGCATAGAAGAATGTGGTGGATAAAGGCATGAGAGGCCATGTGACATCCAAATCTGAATCCAGCTTTGCTTTACACACATATGCATCACACACACATATATATATATATATGTATGTATATATATAGCATTAAGATTTTTTTTTCTTGATTTTTCCCTTTTATATCGAATGTAACTAAACTGTTAGATGATCTAATCATAATATATATATATATATATATATCCATTGAATATTTGTCCGAATTTAGGTTTTGATTAGATGTGAAGTCACAAGAATATAGCTGGATGGTGATCGATCATTAGTGTGGTTTCACCTAAACTACATCTAATTACCATCGACAGTTCAAAAGTGACAAATCTCAGGCGCATACGAACAGGGAAAAAAAATCTAAATTTAAAAATTAAAAACTGACAAAAATAATAATAATTACACAAACCGATGTGAATATCGTCTAATCATGGAAAGCATACGTTAGTAGTTTCGGTGTGAAGGAAACTATGATACTTGTCCATAATACGATATGATCTTCAATTATTGATCTGTTGAATAAAATATAACCAATAAATTAGACCGTAGTAATACAGACTATGCAATAAAACGAAATTATAACATAAATATATATATATATATATATGGTCGAGCCAATGAAAAGGGCTAAAAGAAAAAGACTAAAATCGTATATTATATGATTATTTCGGTTCCCCATTAAAATTTTATGTACCATGAAAAGAACATTATGGGCCTGAAATTGGGCCCATTTAGCAAAGAACAGCTTCGACGCTTGAATTCCTCAGCGTAAGACAAACCGGGCAGGCGAGAGCTGACCGGTCACACTCCGGGCAGAGACACAGATGCCGACACGGCAACAGAACCACCGTCGCCGCCCTTCCCCGGCAAGCTTTACACGGCAGAGATGACGTCATCATTCCCGTCGCCCTGTCTGGGTCCACGTAAGCAGACTCAGCGTCCTCCGTCCCGGGCTCTGACCCGCTTCCTCCGCCGCCGGCGCACATTAGCCCCTCTGCCACCGCCTTGTTATCATGCGCCACCGCTAGCTGGAGCTGCGCCTGGAGCGACGCGGCGGCGGCTTCGTGGGCCCGGGCTCTGGCCTGCCATGCCTGCGCCTCCGCCGACGCTTGAATTCCTCAGCGTAAGACAAACCGGGCAGGCGAGAGCTGACCGGTCACACTCCGGGCAGAGACACAGATGCCGACACGGCAACAGAACCACCGTCGCCGCCCTTCCCCGGCAAGCTTTACACGGCAGAGATGACGTCATCATTCCCGTCGCCCTGTCTGGGTCCACGTAAGCAGACTCAGCGTCCTCCGTCCCGGGCTCTGACCCGCTTCCTCCGCCGCCGGCGCACATTAGCCCCTCTGCCACCGCCTTGTTATCATGCGCCACCGCTAGCTGGAGCTGCGCCTGGAGCGACGCGGCGGCGGCTTCGTGAGCCCGGGCTCTGGCCTGCCATGCCTGAGCCTCCGCCGACAACTGGGCCGCACGCGACTCCAGCTCCTCGCGGCGGCGCGTGGCTCTCTCGACCTCAGCCTCCTTCTCCCTTAGCTTTCTCGACAGGGGCTCCTCCACCGCGCGAAGAAGCGCACTGTAGTGCATCTGCCTCTTCTCCGCTAACGTGCGCCTCAGCTCCTCCGCCTGTATAAAGTTTTCGCATTTCCGGATCAGAAAAGATAGAAAAAATCACAACCCAATTCGTTTTAGAAGGATTCGAAACCTGGGCATGGAGAAACTCGTCGAGTTCTTCCCGTTGCCGGCTGATCTGTGCGGCGAAATCTTCAGACAACACAGGCAATAACCCAGGAGATGAACTCGATACAAGATTGTGATTCTCGTATCTGAACTGCTGATGAAGCCGAGTGTTCAAATTCTGCGGCTGGGCTTCGCGGAGACCGGTGGAGACGATGTTCGACGCTTGCGCCGGCGCCGGAGGCCGGTGATAATACTGGTTGTGTAAGAGAGAAAGGTCTATAACTTGAGGAGACTGAGATTGCAGAGAAAATTGGTGACTGTTCATCTGAGCCGCCGTCGGCTCTCTTCCTCGTTTCCTCGGATTAGAACCTATACACACACATATACGCACAGATGTATATGAAACATCTTCGAATGCACATCCGGGGGTAAGAAATTATCAAACTTTACGAACCTCCATTGTTGAACAACATGTGGGTTTGATCCAGAAAATCTCCCTTTTGAGGCTGCAATGAGAAATCCTGCCCCTCTTGCCCGTTTCTGCCCGGAGGAAAATCAATACAGAGACTTCAATCCGAATCCGGATGATTCAAACAGAAAAAGATTACAATTTTTTTTAAAAAAAAAAAAGAACAAAAAAAGAACCTGTTGAGGAAGAGGATATTCGAGGGGTGTTGAGCTTGAACGGCCATGGCGTTTCGATTACGATGTGAAGAGAATATAACGTTAAGGAAAAAACGACGAACAACGACAACAAGGCCTAATGATCCAACATCATCACCATCATCATCATCATCATCATCATCACCATCATCTTCTTCTTAAAGACTTTGAACTCTGTGTCCGGTTTTTTTTTTTTTTTTTTTTTTTTGCTGTCTATCCTCTGGTTTCCCTCTCTATATACGTATATAAAGAAGAGAGAGAGAGAAGCAATGGAATGGAACGAGTCGTTCTTTGATTCTCTTTTTTTTTTAAAAAAAAAAAGGTTTCAATTCTTTTTTTTTCCTTTTATTTGTTTTTATTTTATTTTTTTTGAGGTATGGTTTGGTTTGGTCTTTGCTTCTCTTGCTCTTTCTTGTTCTTCTTCGCGTGGGGTATGCTTTGGCTTTTCTTCAGGACGACTCTCCCCCTCCCTCCCTCCCTCTCTCTCTCTCTCTCTCTCTCTATCTCTCTCTCTCTCTCTCTCCGTTCAACCACGCCATTACTCTCGCGAATTCCGAAAAAAAAAAGGAAAAAAAATAAAGAGGAGACGGAATTTCCAATTTACGGGGCATTATTTTTGGACCGGTGAGTCATATAACAAAGCTGATTAAGGAACTAAATATTTTTTATAAACTGGCAAAATGAAATTAAGGGGAAAGTGAAAGGTGGGATTGTTGAATAAAATCTACCAGCTACCATATATCTTTGTATTCATTTATGTAAAATGGGTGAATAACAAGTAAACCAAATTAATGATTTTCGCCAAGTAGACAAGAATATCGCTAGAATTTTTAGATTCCTAATTTTTTTTTGTTAACTAAAATATGCAAATAACAAATTAGATATCTATATATATATATATTCTATATAGACAATATGATTGTGCAAAATTGGTAAATAGCATTGTTTTTTCTGTTAATTCCATTAACAATTATAATTATTTTAATTTTATTTTAAAGTTATAAAAAAAATTACTTTGCAGCTTTTAGTAGCCAGTGGGTTGTCTAGTTCGGTTTCATATAACATGGTCGATAGTCAAAAGGAAAATTATCGAAATCAATTGCACATTGTGTAAAAAAAAGGAAGAAAACGATTACGCCCCAATTTAATATATAGAATTCTATATAAATATATGCCTTTTATTTTCTTTAACTAGATTATAATATATATATATGTAGTAAAATAACAAAAAATATTTTAGGTACAATTTGGCATAATTCCCACAGATAAGAATGGAGTAAGAAATTATCTACATTATTTACCATTGTCTAGTTTTATAAAAAAAAATAATTAATATAACTGAATTTAACAAATAAAAATATATATGCATTTTTAAATGTTTCTTTACTTAGCACATTAGATCACATAATTAGATCATTAGACAGCAACCCCTGCCTACCCACCTTTTTTTTTAATTATTTAATTGATTTAAATTTTTTTGGTTGATTGTTGGTTAAAATTTGATTAACCCTAAACCCCACACCGCCCATCTCGTCACCTTATTTTTGAATTTTTTTTTTGTATTTTTTTCCAAATTTTTCTTTCACATAAAACCAAAATTACTTTGTAAATTGATATGTAAATAAATATCCAAATTAATTGGCATTATATCAAAAATACTCTTAATTTGCTATTTCTATTTCAACACCTACCCTTGTAACCATGTGACCAATGTGACTGAAAGATAGTATGGTCACATTTTGATTTTATCGATTATAACTTTAAATTTTTGGTGATCACACTAATTCATTATGTTTATACCTTGTATATCTTGTCACATTGGTCACATGGTCACAAGGGTAGGTCTTGAAGTAGAAATATCAAAGTAAGGATATTTTTGATAAGGCCCTTATTAATTGTAAACACCTCGGTAGGTCTTCTCCGATTTGAAAAAAAAAAAGATTAAAGCGTACGAAATATTTATTTTCGGAAGAAATAATGTCTAACGATTTATAACTATAATTATTTTTTTTGTTAAAAATATAAATAATTTTTTTTCTTGGATGCATATTACAAATCGCTTGCAATGTTAAGTTGCCATCCACGTGAGTTGAATTATACCAACAAATAACGTGAAATGACTAATTAGACCCTGCAAAATTTTCCTTTCAAATATAAAGGGCGTGT